ATTTGTAAATCATAAAATTATACTTAATGATTTTCAGTTATTGTTTGAATTCGAAGAAAATGAAGAAAACTTCTTAGAACTAGCTAATAACTACAAAAATAATCTAGAATCCATGAACAATTCCTTATAATCTACGAAATACAAGTTGTGGCAAAGAAGGTTAAAACATATGAAAGAAAAACCAGAAAACGCCCTCTAAGTTATGACTGTCTGCAACAAAGAAATTTACCCGAGTGTCTTCAAACTATTCCAGATCCTTGCTACTATACCAGTCTCCACTGCATCAAATGAGCGCACATTTTCAAATTTGAAACGAATTAAAACACATTCAAATACTATGACTGAAGTAAGGATAAATATTAAATATTTATTATGTAAAACTTTGAAAAGGTCATCTGTAAGATTAATTAATACAAATATTATTTTAAATTAAATTTCAGGCCAGATTGAACGGCTAGGCAATGATGTCGATACATAGGGATGAAAACTGTTGAACAGTTGATGCAGTACTTATTGAACGAACTTGTGCAACACTAAAATAAGAGTCGATTTTACTTTGTAAAGTATATGCCTTTAAAATTTAATTAATATTAGTTACATCAATATAACAATGAAATAACAGTCAACAGCTTTTATTTTAAATAATACCTATGAAATACATATTATTTTTCAGGACCCCCTCCAAGAAAATATTGAAAATCCGCCACTGCCTGCCTGTAAACACAAATGCGTCATCACATGATCACTTTTAGATTCTAACTGAAGCAAAGGATATTATGGTTTTATAATGATGTTTGTATTTTTTTTTTTTTAATACTTTTTTGGAGAGAAATACTGTTCCAAAGGTTTTTTCTAGGAACTTTTTAGATTTAAAATTGGCATGCGGTGGTACTTTAGATAGGTAATTTTTTTAAATCCTAAGAGTTTTTCCAGACAATTTTTACATTAATGAAGGCATAATAAATTTAATTTTATAAAAAGGTAGTTTGAAATATATTGTATTTTTATCAATTCAAACATGGTTTGATCGAATACCCTATCAGTAAGTGTAATAATATTATTTTAACCACAAGATATAATATTGGAAAAATGGCTTCAAATTTTAAAATATTTAGTTTATATTTTTATATTATTATATAATAAGATAATGTATAAATTTTATTAGTAACTTTCATTAATAATTTATTGAAATCTCTTCGAATTAATGTTACTGTTTTACAAAGTGTGATGGAATACATACACTTTGAAGCTGCATTATGAAACATGCAAAATTGTTTTAAAATATTTGTACACAATTGAATTTGAAAATGATTGCAATTAAAAAAATATTTTTTTATTAAAATCATTTTCCGATTATTATAATTGATATAGAAATGTAATATTGATCAGATTTTGAAAAACATGTTTAACAATTATAAATTTAAATATAATACAAACCATATCATATGATATAGTTACATAACTAGAATAATTATAAAAAGTAGGGATATAATTTCATTGTATTGTATTAAATTACATATGTATTTTATAGGATTGAAGCAGTATTAAAAGCCAAAAAAAAAAAAAAAACGCTGAAGATAACTTGATTATTGATCATCATAAAAGTCCACTATCATAACAAATGTATAATAACAATTAAAAACCTGACGATCCATACACTAACTATTAATTCATTTTAATTTTGTTATTTTTTATTTTCTAAGAATAAGTGAATATATTCACAGGAACACATATTATTTGTAATCATTATTATTATTATTATAAATAAAGAAATAAAGGGTATGTAAATATGACTTATTTTCTAATTTTTTAAATACAAAAAATAGAAATAAAAACACAAGCAATATTTAAAAAACAAAAATTAAAGTGTAATTTGAAAACATTTTATAGTATCAAAAAATTTCATAGTTTTAAGTAATAAATATTATTTTTTAAATAATTTAATAATATTTAAAAGATATATTTTAATTAGTTAAACAATATTGAAAAAAATGTTTTTGATAATGTATTTAAAATATTGATTTAAAATTTTAGCTTGAATAGAAAACTGGCTATTTGAAAATTTTATAAATGTTAAAAAAATAGATTATTTATAAACAGTGGAGTAGCTGTTATGGTGAACTTTGCCTACGCCAGGGTCGCAAAATTGTGCAAGAGTCGTATTTTTATCCTACAATTAAATCGACATTTTCATTGTACTTTTTGAAGTACGTAGATGTTGTTTATTTGTACACACAACGTGTGAATTTAATGATGCAATCATGAAAATAGGGTATTTAAATAAAAAATTACATATAAAAAATTATCGATGAATTTGCCAGTCATAAAGCGTGGAAAGCAAGTTTTCATAGTTTAAAATTAATACTGTAATAATAACTTATAAGTATAAATTGTGTACTAAAAAATATTAGTAAAATTAAAAGTTAAAAAAAAAACATAACATCAAATTGTAATTGGTTAGAAAGGTAACTTTTTCTAAGTTTGCCAGGGGCGCTGGCGAGTCTTCCTACGCCACTGTTTATAAACTTTTTTTTAACATTTTTTTAAACATTTAAAAAATATTTTTTTGCTTCTTGGGTGTGGTAGGGTTTAAAGTATCAAAAAAGAGCAAGGGAGACTGTAATCCATATATCACTCTCAGTGTTCCATATAGTCCAATTAGGTAATTAATTATAAATAATTATAAATATTATAAGTGATTATAATAAAATGTAATAATAAGTGATATAGTGAAAGTGATAGTGAATAATAATAAGTGATTATCAGTGATTAATTTTCTCCACAAAGTATTTATGTGCTGTAAAAATTTATAAGCTTGTAAATTACTTACTTATTGTTTTAAATAACAGATTGTGAATATCTTTTAATAAAATAAAAATAATTAAAAAAATGTTTATAAAATTATATAATACTTTATCATTTATATTTAATAGTAGTTTTGTTTGTTGAATACTTTTTAATACCTAGTAGTGACATCAACTAAATTACAAAGCCAATTTTTAACTGTTTATTGTGTATAATTATTTTTAACAAACAGTCGAGGGTTTCTGTAAACATTTTGGAGAAATGTTAAAGGGAATGCTTTATAAGCGCTATGAGAGGTAGTGGAAATAAGTCCTCTTGTGTCCCCTCCACTTTTAGCCCTGACCAGTGGCGTGCCAAGTTTTTTTTTTTTTTTTTTTGGGGGGGGGGGCAAATATTTTTCCTACGTATTTTCCACGTATTTATATTTTACAAGATAATAATTTATTTTACCGAACTAGAAAGATCAAAAATGGATTAAATAAATAACACTGAAAAATGTTTATAATAATTAAATTAAATAATAAATATAACATAAATTATACAAAAATATTGAGTAATACGATTTTTTTCTAAATTCATTAAAATTTCGGGGGGGAAGGTTAAACACCCAACAACTCTCCCTCCTAAGCGCGCCCCTGATCTGGGTAGTGCTACATCTAGGTTTTGTAGGAATTGTAGCATACAATTTTTAGTTGGCTTTTATCTCTTTTTTAAGTATAATTACTTATTATATAATTTTAGTTTATAATTACTTATAAACCAGCCTTTATAATTGAATTTGTTTTTGCTGAGAATTTTAGTTAGTTTTAAGTTACTTTTCGGCTCTTATAATTCATTGTCTACTATCAAATGAACCTTTTTGACTTATAAAGTTCCACAATTGCTGGTGTTTCAATTTTTTTTTACAGTGACCTTTTACCAATGCAGTGAATCTCCACCCACTAGTTAGTGAGCCCTATCATTCCGGAATTGCTATATTAACTAATGCAAGGCCATGTAGCAAGTGGGCCATTTCAATATTCAGTTGTTTGACTAACAAAAGTTCTTGTAAATTCATAAGTCTAATAATATTAATTTTATTTATTGTTTTAATATAATTATCTCTTTAATATTATTTTAAATTAGTTGCAAATACCAACATAAAAATTATATTAATTAAATTGTATTTTGAAATAAATTAAAGTAAATGTTCAATGCCCAATATGATATTTATAGGTTCAATTTCAATTTAATTTAGGGAGGAAGGATCTTGAAAAATGTATACTTAACAGACTCCTGGGTAAATATAAAAATAATTCAAAAACAAATTCTACACATTTACAATATATTTTCAAATTGTATGTCTTGGTTTAGGGGCTGTCTTCTTACTTGCCCCCCCCCCTATAATGGTATTAATTATTGATGATTGATAATTAGGAATTAATTGAAAAACAGATATAAAAAAGAACCAATCATTGTATTTTTATTATATCAACAAAGTACTTAACCAAGTACTACAATACTTTGAAACATTTTTTCTTTTCATAGTATATATAACAGCTATTACATAGAAAATGTACCCAAAGTAAATGCGCTATGAAAAAAAGAACATGCTTTTATTCATGAGTATATGCCAATAAAATAACTATAGGTCAAAAAAAAATAATAATAATAGTTATAACAAAAAAAAAAAAATCATATATACAATAATTTAACAATTTAGCTAAAAAAAAAAAAAAAAAAACAATAAGAAAATTAGGAAGTTCTTTGATTAATAAACAAAATATGAACATAAACATAATGAATAAAAGTGACCAAAAATGATTTAGTATACAACTATTATAGCTTAAAATTTTATTTTTTAATAATAATCATTGTAAATGTACATTATTACTATGGTAACAAACGTCATAAAATATTTATGACAAGAATTGCTAAAAAAAAATTTACATTAATGAAGGCACGATAAATTGCATTTTGCAGTTTAAACCCGAGTTTACTTTGTTACATATAAAAGAGAAATATACAAGACAAATAATAACATTTATTAAATCATAAATTAAACTTTGTCTTTTGACTAGCTTAACTTTCAATTTAACAAATCAGATTACATTTTCCATTTGAAAAATAATACAATGATTATTATTACTTTGATCTAGGAATTTGCAATATTAGTTTATTCAAAATAAATTATAATTACATAAACAATTGCAATCCTTTACAGTATTAAAAGACAAATAATAATTAAAGAGCATTAAAAGACACATTCAGTAATCGGATACATGTCTACATAAATATTATAAATTTTTTTTAATTTTTTTTTACACTTTTATTAAAAAGTTAATCTTTAGTATTTACAATATTAAGACTTGAAATGTCTTTATCACAAAGTCTAGTAGAAAAATAATCCCTGTCAGTCAATTATCACGTATGGTAGTATGACAAGTGGTTCACCAGTATCGTTTGCCCTAGTTAATACCTCATGCCACTCCCTAAACGTTTCATCATTTTCCCAATTACCAGTTACACCTTCAATTTGAGCTCCTTCTACTAAATCAGTAGGCGAAAGAGGTGGCCGTGGAGGTGATGGTGGAGGTGAATTCCAGTCTATGGCTTCTATGTCCAGAGGAGGTAATCTATTATATATATCCAGTATTTGTCGGTCGACATCTGCAACCTTAGGTCGAGTAGGTTTATCAACTTTTGCTACAGAAGGTTCGTCCTGGAACTCTTGTACAGATATTTGTGGTTTTTCCTCCACTTGATAATTTACATCATCTTTACGTAATGACGCAATTATTTCTTGAGTAGTTTTTAATTTACTGGCACCAACAACCATTCTTTCCAGATCCACAGGATTAGCAGGTGTAATCCCCAGTTTTATGGAATTTTTACCTCCTTTTTTTCGACCACGTTTTTTTGGTCCCTGTGGTTCAATTATAGGATCAAGTTCTTGTTCAAGCTCATTAACCGGACTAGGTATTGGTTCTGGTGTTCTTTGAACCGGTGGAGAAATTGTGGTTGAGCTTAGAATAGGTACTCCATTTAATTTTGGTTTCTATTAAAATAAAATATGGTATTAGCAAAATATTTAAATATTATAATATAAATATCAAGTTTCATACTTTAAGGGGTGCTGTACATTGATCAGGTGAAGTAATAGGTCTTTTACTATGATTGCTAAGCATGCCATTAGGCTGTGAGGGAGGAAGCTTAGCCTGCTGAATGACTTGAGCACTATTTATCATTAGGTTACGCCATCGCTGTACAAGTTCCTTTGCACGTTTGGCCAATTGTTTGTCCAAAGTCTTACGTCGTAATTCATTGACCATTTTACCGATACGGGTTGCCTAATCAACATAAATACAAAAATAATTTTACCAATTAAGATGAAAACTTATTAATTTTAATAATAAACTATGTAGTCAATTGTAAATGAGAAAGAAATAAAAAATATTTAGCTAATACAATAAAATAATAAGCAAGACATTGAAAATTACACCTTTCATGTACTGAACAACTAAAGTAAATACAATTATTTTCTTATTTAACAAAAATAAATGATAAATAAATCGTCAAATTTATCTTCTTATTTATTTAATAAATTAATTTACGAATAATTATTCTACTTATACTGAATTATGCAATTATTAGTTAAAATAAAAGTAATTTATATTCAAGGTTCATATAATTTAAATTGTTTTCATATGTATAATGTTCATTAGGTTTACAAATGTAAACCAGGGAAAAAATTATAATACACCATTGTTAAAATAATAAACATTTACCTCAAGCACCTCCGTGGTAACTGGTAGTTGTTCAAGGGTTGAAATAACCTCAAACACTGTAGACATATCGGTAACCTAGAGCAGTAAACATTTATGAATAATTTATTCATAAATTTACATATACATATATATCTAAACACTATAATTCATATAATTTTTCTAAGTAGAAATTACCTGATTTTCTTCTAAAAAATAAATTATTGGATGGTGCTAATTGTTTTAAATAAATCTATATTTTATTGATTAATATATATATATAAGATAGCATAACATAAAAGTAATTTTATATATAATTACATATGTTACAGAGATATTTCAAAGTCAATATTTCATAAAACATTAAATAATTTATATTAACATTTTTATTCAGATTGCAATTTACATGATTAAACAAATTAAAAAATTATATCACCATAGATATATTGATTTAAGTTTTAATAGACTGTTAATATACTGTTTTTTGTATATTAAAAAAAGAATCTTTAGTTATATAAACTAGGTTATTTATATATAAATATAAAATACTAAAAAAATTCATAAATTATACATTTAAAAATTTATAATCAAAACAATATATTATTAATGTTTATCAAATTCAAAAAATCAGTACAATTATTATTCCATCTTATTATGGACATATTTAACAATATGATTCTTTAATATTAAAATATGTGATAATTTATACCGTTATGTAAATATAACTCAGAAATTATATTGCATAAGAAAATTGCTAAAAGAGGAGAAATAGTCAAGGAAATAAAAAAAATAATATCTTAATGACAGTTGATATTATGATATTTATTATTTTAAAAACACTTTACAACACTTAGCTATACCAAAACCAAAAATCACGTAAAAAATACATGATATATAAAGACATTATATTTTTAACCATTTTATAAATCATAGACTATTAGTTTTATAATTGTTAGGAAATATAATGTTTTTTTTCAATTCATAACAGTTCAGTGACCAGGATTTTAAATTAATGAGTTAAAATGTTAAATGTTTTACAGGAAAAATTGGTTTACAACGTAACTTAGGTGTATAGTAAAATTATAGCTAGAAATATAAGTTCATAACTGTGATATTGCAAATACAAAATAAAAATAATAAAACACAATTGTTTAAAAGTAGTAAAATGTTAGTAAAATAATTTTCTTTAAATAAAATCCATGTACTTTTTCACATTAATTTCTGACTAATTCCACAATAAGGTTCAAATAACTTTGTCAAATTAGTATACAAAAAATAACAAAATAATATTGTTTTAGTTTGATTAATAGCAAAAAATAAGCATTGGATAAAAATCAAATATTAATTACTTATCCAGACCTATGATTTAAATAGTATTATTTGGGAGGTTTATACTTAAACTTATATTTCATTAGTAATAGAGTGTAAACGTTTCAATGAAAAAATAAGATTTCATCATATTATTAATGGGCCACTGGTCTTATTTTAATATTATTTAGTCGACCAAAATGACCTAGATTAATCACGTTGAACTAAAAATAACACGTTGGGAACCAATTAATATACCGTGTTCGTCGTATATTGCACTAGAAATACATATTAAAATTAACATCATTACATAACAATGGAAATTAACTGAAAATCAAAAGCGAATCGCACTGGTATGGGAAAATAAACAGAACGACGGTATTCTCGAAATTTTTCATTGCTAAACGATGTTTACGCCGACCGTCACCGCCGGGGAAAGTAAAACACGCGATTGTAATCCGAAAACATGTCGTTGCGGAGGAAATCAATTGGAAAAGGACGCAACCACCATAATACGAAAAGATGGGTGAAAACGAACAGCGAATGGAATCCGATAATTCACTCGGGTTGTATCAATTTAAAAAAAAAAGAAAAACCAAACGCCAAGTCCAATACGGAGCCAGTAAGTGATTAATAAAAATTATGAGGAATCACTCTTTATGTTACATAATTTCCTGTCCGCGAACATGTGTATTTTCTCAGGAAAATTTTCCTTGACAACGACACCGGGGGGAAGAATACACACAAACACGCGGTTTCGTCGTGTACACCGCCCGTCGATCGGGGGCATTGAACCAACAGCAAACGGAAATCGGTTAAACGGGTGAAAAAATAATGGACGACAAGAACCGGGTAACATTGAAAACGTTCTGATCGTACGAGGGGAGTGGTGGGAGGGAGGGAAATAAAAAACCTAGGACTACCGTGAAGCCACCAGACGTGGTGCGAAAAGAAACACGATCGTATAGGCCAAACGTTGATGGGGGGGGGGGGGGGGGGGGGGGGGTGGAGAAGGGGGGAAAAGGCGGGGGGGGGGGGGGGGGGGGGGGGGGGAAATGTGTTTTAGAAAGATGTGAAAAGACCACTGGTGAGAGAGTCGATGAGCAGCAGCATATGGTCGCGAAGGAAACGGGACACGGACGCGAATGACAACGCACGATGTGCGCGCGCACGTATGAAACGTAATCGTGAGCAGAAATGTGTCGGCGGTGATGACTGGAGAGGAAAAAGGAGAAAAAAAAACGAAACCGAATGCGCAAACGAGAAAGGAACGACGACGCGTGATTACGCATGCGCAGTGCCGCGTGTATACCGATGCTCGACCGTGTAATGCGTCCGTCAGTGTACGGTACGCCCGTCGCCGACGTAACGTGAACCTATTTTCGGCCATTGTGCGACGACGACGCACACGGGACACCGCGCGCCCCGCGACCACGACCAAACACACGGACGGACGCGTGCGCGCGCGCGCGCTTGTACACGCACATAACCTCGCGGACGTTCCGCGCGCCACACGGCCGTCCGTCACTGGTGGCGGCAGAAAATCGTTTCGCGCACACGGAATGTTTCCGACGGACGGGCGCGACGCGGGCCAGTCGAGCCACGGCGGCCGGTTGCACGTTGTTGGCCGAGGCGGACGACGGGCGAGAACCGAACGTTTTCTCTTCGAGACGCACGCAAACGGAGACAGACGCGATTAGCACCACCGCGCAGTGAACCACTGGAAAAATGTCTATACTTCACAACATGAATATCGTTTAAGAAAAAATAAAATAGACATAATATATGTAACAATAATTAAAAAAAAAAAAATAATAATACGGGAGTTTGTAAAAATAATAGTGTCTTACATTGTATTCATCGTCCAATGCGCTCAATAACCTATGTTTTATGTCGAAAAAAGTCTTCTGCATGAGGCCCTATTCGGTCTCAGTTCGGAGAGCACGTCGGCCCACATCAGCACGCACAGCACAACTTACAGTGATGGCGGACGTGCACTGAGCCACTGAGGGCCGCCGCTGGCTCCCGAGCCGCAGTAACGGCGATTGGCGACGATCAGCACACGAAAGCGACCTAGCTACGCGGACGGCACCGCCCGACCGCGGACGACGGCGATCGACCGCAACCGAGTAGCCGATCATATGTTGTTGGTCGCGTCGTCCGCATCGGTGCGCCACGTTCAACCCGTCTCGGGACGTTGCGTGCCCGTGTCCGAGCGAAACGTTCCGCACATCGCACTTTCCAAACGAATTCGTCGTCGTTGCCTGATTAAGATGCCGGAGCTGGAAAAAACGGAAACGTTCTGTATTCTTGTTCGCACACAGGTTGGCAAACGCTCCGGGTGATAAAACGGCCAACAGCTGCTGTCTACCATCGCCACTTCTCCGTTCTTCTTATCATCACGGTTATTTGATTTCACCGGAGAAATCGTAACTTCCAGACCTTGCTCGATGTTCCATTACAAATGGTTTTGATGCATCTATCTTGTGTTTGTACGTCTGTTTTACAATTTTTGACGAGGACGATGACGATTACCAAGATGACTTCAACAATACTAGCTGCCCCTCATAACCACGGATTATTATGTTTTATCGATCCGTTTTAACATTTTTCAACAGTTCTAAGAGCATCAATCAATCTTCTACATTTTTTTTTTTACCTTGACTTTTTTCGTGCACTTATCGAATTCCCGGTTATCCATGTTTACCGAGTGAAATTTAAATTATAAACACATGGAGTTCTCGTTGATCATGTCCCGTATAAACATTTTTCGTTTGTTCATATTCATCCGTTCGCTAACAGGGTGGAAACCACGGACTTTGATTATTTCTCTGTCCATAACGGAAACGCGTAAAACGAAGCTATACGTTTTGTTAAGGTGTATAAGGTAATTGCACGAGATACACCTTAATGTGCGAACAATTAATGTATGCTGTTACGCTATTATAAGTGTACAAACGCGATGATATGTCCCGACCGATTTTTCAGCGAATCTGTTTAGCATTCCTGGAGATTATTTTTTTCCTATTTCTAAATGATTACGGATGATTTCCTGTTGAAAATCGTCTTGCTTCAATACCTATTTAATGCGTTTATTAATACACCTCCGTATAAGAAAAGCCACGTGGCCAAATGAGTGTTCAGGTGTTAGTTGTACTTGTCTTGTTTTCGGCTTAATGACGACATGGAATCAACCGTTATTCATATTACACTAATCGAACTGTAATCCCATGTGAATGTGTGTTCACTTCGTAAATAGAAAAATTTTTCAAATCGATTAAATTTATATTATGTAAAAGGACAACTATTTTATAGTTAAAATCTACAGCCATTGGAAATCCCAGAATATCTACCTACCGGTTATAGAATTTATGTACAATTTCTAAGAAAATTACTCTATGAATACTGCTCCATAGTTATCATTATTATGTCGATTATTATTATTCTATCGATTTTTAAGATAAAATATTATTTATATACTTTGTATAAAATGGTTACTATTAAATTATTTTTGTTTTAAGAAGTTATTAAGTATTAATATAAATATATGAGTTCTTTTCGAAGTGTCTTATTGTCAATTAAGTAAATATCAAGCTCAAATTACATCCATCGAAGTACATATCAAGGTGTTTTATAGATTGTTTTTATTACATAAAAATTAGGTTTTAAGTTAATAAGTTTGGTTTATGTATCATCTAGGTAATGAATTCGATTTTCGCCGAATACCTAATGCAAAATATTATTTTACGGGTATACGGTTCTAAAATATCTCGAAAACAAAAAACTAATCATAATTTAATATTTCATTGGAAAAAATTGATTGAAATATTCAGCTGTTGAAGATTACAGTGTACCTACACTGTGTTTAATGTATTTTGTAAATTGTAGTGAATAACATTGAATAGTATGGAGTGTGAACATTCAGCCCATGGTTCTTAAATCTGCATCATGCAATTTATAACGAGCTGCAAATGTATATCTTGTGGTGTTATATTTTTTAGTCTTAATAGAAGTTATAAACATGTAGTTACAAAGGATTAATTAAATTTTTTCGAACGTAACGAGAGAAAACCAAAACGAGCGAAGCAAGAAAATTTATTTTAGGTTTAATATCCATATTTTTTTAGTGCGTATGCTCACAAATATATTTACCAATACACCACTGGTTAAAGATAATATATATATATATATAATATAATATTTAAAATATGTAATGTTATTTTACATAGTATTGCAAAAAGATCATTATATACTATGTCCTAGTTTGGTGATTTCAAATCTAGCAACTCTAACTATAAGTTAAGAAACCACAGAAAAAAGAAAATATAACAATTGGTAGTACAATTTACTAATAGTAACCAATTGGTCTAAATTAAAATTTTTTCAAGTCACTCACTCAATAAATAATTTGATTTAATATTTTGATCGTCTATAATATGGATATAATACATATTATATACAGGGCCGTATTTAAGATTTCTCCGCCCAGGGACAACATTTTGCTGCCCCTATTCCCTAAAATGTAAAACTGAAAATAAGTGTCACCAACTATTCATTAAAAAGCTAATCTCAATTCGTTTTCCCCATTTCAGTACACTATTACCAGTGCCGTCGTTAGCGAGCAGGCAACTTAGGCAATTGTCTAGGGCCTCGCACTATAAATTCGGGGGCTCTCAGTTTGTCAAGTTAGAATAGCTAAATATATTTAGATTATTGTACTGATTTTGCCTAAGGCCTCGCAAAAGCTTGCGACGGCACTGACTATTAAACAATATTTTTAATTATTTATTTATTTGTAATTAATATCAAATCCAAAATAATAACTGAGTTATAATGGTGGTACCCTTAAATAATTTAGTACCTTTCGGTCCCATCCCCAAACAAATCAACATTAAACCAATACCTATATTTCACCAATTCGAATAAAATATTCATAAATAAATTCAAATTTTGTGTGCTACTAAAATTTAATAGCTTACAAAATTTATTTTATAGTATAAAAGTTATTTTTTATATAATTTTATTTATTCAAAAATAATTTTCCATTGAGAATACCAAAAAAATCGATTTGGATTTATTTAGTATCACTGTAGTAATCACCGTAAAAATATTCCTGCCCTCTTTAAATATTTTAGAGGGGCTATTGCCTTCCCAAACCACCCCTTAAATACGACCCTGCAGTGGCGGTGCGAAATATTTTACTTCATGAGTCCTGTTAGGATTTTGCTCACCCGCCCACCCATCTAAAAAGAAATTTAAGGGTAGCTTGTAAAAAGAGCTCCCCCCACATTCATTCTACATGCTATATACCCACTTGATACCCAATGGTCAATACCCACCCGCTGACTTGAGTCCAGGGACTCAAAAATCTGCTGTCACGCCGCCACTGCGACCCTGATTACATATATTATGTACAATGATGATTTAATTTATATAAATATGTTTGGTTTGTTATTTTGAAAATAATAATGAACAAGGTATTTAAGTATAATACTGATTTTGGAGTAACATATTTTTTTCGTAAATATATACTTAGTATGAGTGTGACGGAATAAGGTATATAATAGTAAGATGTATCATATCGGTACAATAATTTTTTTTTGTATATTTTCAGCAACAAAAATCTATTTATGTTATAAAACATAATTTATAAAAACTATAATTAGTTGTTTGACGCTGATAAGCACAAATAGGGAGATCATATCTTATAGAATGACTCTTGAATTCAAAATGTGCACCGAGTATCTATACAAAGCAAACCTCGATCCTAGATTTTAAAATACTTTAAAATTTTAAATGTTACTTTACAATCATGGCTTTCAGGCTTACTGTACAAAATCGATTCTTTTAAATCTCAAAAGATTTAAAAGACTAAATTAGGATGGTTTTAATTTTAAAATTCAATATTCATAAGAATAATGAACTACAATTTTTTAAATTTCTTTCAAGGATAATTTACACTATACCTGATTGATTTTGACTATTCTAGTGCATTATAGTCTGGGTTAATTTACTTAATACTTAGGACTTAGGTACAATAGCAAGTTATTCCCAAGTTAATAAATACAATATGTATAGTAATTATTGGCGGTCAAACGGGGGGTTGATTTCCACCCATGTCCTTTTTTTCAATATTTATATTTCTTGCATATTATACGTAATACCATTTATTATAAATACTAGTATTTATAATCAATGCTAATACATATAATATAAGGTATTCATTTATTTTCTAATTTTTATTTTTTCTGAAAACATAAATAATCATCTAGGGTAATTTTTTACAGTAGACCTTATGTCTTGCGACTATTTTATTTAGTATATTTTTCGTGATATACAATTGTATATGTATTAGGGGTTATGTTAGCTAGCCTTGAAACATAGTCAATTTAAGGTGGTAAGGTCCACCCAGGGCACCCCTCTGGACTACGTGCCTGTTCCTATGTAGTCATTATTATTATTAGTACATATCTATATAGTGTACATGAACACTTTTTATTTGAATATCAGAATATACATTAGTTACATGTTGGTAACTGTATTTTTTACCAAGTTGCAGATTATCACTATAGGCAGAAAATCTAACTACAATCGTTGTTAAGCCATAGTCATTTTAAGTTCTTTATAGTTTAAATTATGTATATATATATATACAGGGTGATTTTAAAATAACCACGAAAAGCCCTGTAATTGATATGTGCGTACTACAACTATAAAATTATATTCTCCATAAATAAGCGTTTAGTTATCATGAATCGTTGGACCGCACAACAATGTGCGTTCGCCGTAAAAGCGTTTTATCTAAACAGCTGTAGTTCACGGTAGCGCAGCGTGTTTCCGCGCTCATTTCGTAATCGTTCAGTGCCGTCAGACCACGCAATAAAATTATGGGTGAACAATTTCGATCAGAGTGGCACAACAATTAAAAAGAGAGGTGGAAGAAAACAAAATATGAACTCAGGAGAATATTGAACGAAGCAATTGGAAGAAGCCCTCGTCGGTCGGGTCGTCGTCATAGCGCTACACTTGGATTATCAAACCGAACCGTTAGGAGAATTTTACATGATGATCTTCATCATCGTCCGTACAAAATTCAAGTGGTTCAAGCTCTCAATGAAAATGATTATTTTTTTATTATGTCAGTCGAAGACGTTTTTGTGAATAATTTTTAGCTTTGATTAATGAAAATGAAGATATGGTCCATAAATTATGGATGAGTGACGAGGCTCCGAATACGTCAATAAGCAAAACTTTAGGTACTGGAGTGACACAAACCCTAGTTTATCTTCTTCAAGAATCATAGGACCGTATTTTTTCGAGAACAAACGTGGAGAGGCAGTCACTGTAAATTCACAAATGTTGCAAAATTTTTTTATTCTATAAATTGTTCAATATGGAGTAACTGGATTTTTTCAGCAAGATGGAGCAACGAGTCATACAGCTAGAATGAGTATGAATATTCTGAAAGATTTGTTTCCTAAGCGTATAATTTCTCGAAATGGGAATATTCCATGGCCCCCACGTTCACCTGATTTAACGGCCTGTGATTTTTTTCTGTGGAGGTATATCAAGAGTAGAGTATACCAAACAACACTAAGGACAATTGATGATCTTAAACAAAAAATACGAGAAGAGGTGACACAAATTTCACCGGAAATTCTGCGAAACGTCATGACCAGTTTTCAAAGATGCCTTGACGAATGCTTGCTTCGAAATGGACGCCATCTTGTGGATGTAATTTATAAAAATTAAACAACAAATTAACACTTCTTTAATGCTATTTTATGTACTTTCAAATTATTTAAATACATTTGTTAAAAACATATTTGTTGTTTTTTTTATAGTTATTTTAAAATCGCCCGATTCACTGCCCCACCCTGTATATATATGTAAATTTGACAATATGTAGGTAGTATTATAAAAAAATTATTTAAACAAATCGAAGTTTCAATTAATAACTATAATATAGTTTCAATAATATGTGCGTATGATGTGATACAAACAAATTATAATCAATACATTTTGCTATTATTTAGAAAAGTATACATGTAAACGTTATTTTTTAAACTGTATATAATTTACATAACCATCGTACATATATCAAAATATTAAACTCTATACATCTATATTTTTTTCTAGTACTATTATTATTTATAAAATATTTAATGTAAAATAAATAGTCATTTATACTACCACTATTATTGTATATTTATACGATTTATGCTTTTAGGTTCAAAAGCATTTCTTGGATAAAATTAGGAAAAATTATTATAGTATTTGTAATTACTAAATGTAAAAATTTGGGATGGGAAATAATCAAATATTTGAATATCAGTATTCGGTACTATAATAGAATAACCTACCTCACGAACATTATACGTTTGCGTTCTAGCGTAATACCTCCATTAAACATTTAATATTAATATATAGGCTTGTGGTGCATAAAGGCCTGCAGGAAGTGAGTTCATCGCCATCGATATTAATAACACGAATAGATTGATTATTAAACAGACCATATAAAATGCAAAAAATAAAAAGTAAAAATTATGCAAAATATATCATAATTAAATTATTAATAATAATAATAAGGGCAGAGGACTTGTAGCATTTGCATATTTGTTTTACAAAGTAACAACAATAGCAGAAAATACTTCGAATAATTACGAATTATCCATGATAATTAATTAATAATTAATAATGCGATTATTCTAATATACGTTATATCTCTAGTAATAACATAAAAATGCATTTTTATAATGATATCAAAATATTAGTGTTAAAAGCTTATAAAATTATTTAGCTATGTTTATTAAAACCGTGAATCCAGAAAACAACATTAAATTAGTTTTAAAATAAATAAGTTATTAAACTTCAAATAAATTTAAAGTCAAATAAATTTTACCTATACCAGTGCTTCCCAAATTTTTTCGATTCACGGCGTCCTTTTTGATCCAAGGTGTTTTCAGGGCGCCCTTCCCCAAGTCATAGCATGACTAATCAAATAGAAATTTTAGACCAGATCAGGCTTTATTGAAAGGATTTATTCCAACTGCACAAATAAAATAAATGTTACAAGGAGGCTTCGCCTCAAACTCTCTACACTCATTTTATTGATTTTGATGTAGCAGATAATGAATCCAAAGATGTCGAAGTAACCAACATCGGTTTTACTAACATAGTATTCAAACAATTCGTTATGTTTATAATTTATTTATTTTTATTGATATTTCATGAACGGTCAAATCGTCTTTTATAACAATAAAGTGCACATGTTCGTTAATTCTACAGCACATCTTATTGTTCCTAATGCACAATTAGTGTCCTACTGTACCTTACAATAAAGCCTGGACCAGATAGTATTACATGATGGCGTGGCGCCCCTGTACAGACATCTCGGCGCACCAGGGTTCCATGGCGCACACTTTAAGAACCGCTGACCTATACTATTTAACATGTATTGTAGAAATTTAATTTTCCTAAATTTATAGAAAAAATGCAAAGTGTCTTATTATAACACTTATTTGTTAAGTAGGTTTGTCTTTTAAGTCTTACATATTCAGCTCACATAGACCATTTGGTCAACGTCTTCTTCTAATAACTATCTTTTCCTCGGTCGCCCACAGGGTATTTTTTTCGTTGGCTTCTACTATACTTTTTTTTATTTAAATTCATTTATTATTTTCAATTTTACTGATTGTAAAATGGCATAATTAAAAATTCTAAAAAATTCTAAAAAATAAAACAGAATTCTCGTTATTTTATCATTTCTATACTATAATAACTATATTATAGTTATTTCTTATCACTTAAAAAATAAGTCTTCCAAAATCTAAACTTTAATTTAAGGAGGGTTGGGGGTGAGATTTTTGAACATTTATAGGGGGGGGGCGTAGAATTAAAACAATTAGGAATTATTGATATATATACATATATATATATATATATATATAATGTTAATGTATCTGCATGTTTTTTTTTCATGTATAATTTTCTTTATGAATATTAAATTATTATGCTGTGTCTTAAATTTTTAACGGAATTACTTATAAGCAGGGTTCGGGACTTATAGCATTTCCATAAATAACCCTTTCATCCTAGGCCTATTAATAAATGTTATAAATTAGTGCGAGGGCGTTAAAAACAAAAAAAAAAAAAATTATAAAATAGAAATAATGATTTATTTGCAAATTCCCATTCCCTTACAAAAGTTATGTATATGATACTGCTTACAACTGACTCTTTAATTATTATTCGTTTACATAAAACATAACATATTTTTAAATATTGTAAGAAAAATAAAGTTAATGTTATTACATAGGTTTATAGATACATATATTACCTTAAACAATTCTGGAGGGGCTTCAGCTCTTGATACGCCTATATCATCGAATTGATAACACAAAGTTCACTTCCACTCAGTGACGTAGCTACACAGGAAAGGGCTCCGGTGCCGCATGTAAATTAGGCTCCCTAATTGATATTATCCTTAAATGAAAATTCCGGTGTATTACTAGTTGCGGTCAAAATCAAAAATTACGTACTAGTTGCAGTCACCCAATAAAAAGGTTACATACTAGTTGCGGTCACTCAAAATATATATCTAGTATGTATGGTAAATACCATGCTATTTTATTTACAAAAAAGTTTCAACATTTTCCTTTCCATTTTATAAACAGATTTTGGACTGACTGTCTACACTATTTTTATTGTGTAGGTTCGAAATCACTGAAGACTCTATTTGGGATATAGTCAGACAAACAACCTTTGAGGTGGTCTTGTACGTATTACAAGGCAATTTACTAGGTGATAACGAAAAAATAAATAAAGGTACGTATTTGCTGCTTTTGTTTTTGTATTCATGTATCACAAAAAATTGTTTATAAGGAAAATGGCAACTTGAAAAAGTACCGTCCATAAAAATTGAATCACATTGTTTTAAAAAATTAAGGTTTATCTGATTCGTAAGACATATTATATTGTTCTGAACATCGTTTATAAAAATCCAATTTTCATTATTTTTGGTTCACATTTTATTAATTACGTTCTGAAGCGTTAAATGTAATTTTGAAAAGTCATGCGGCAACTTCGGTTGAACATTCATTCTTGCAGTATTTATATTTTTTCTGATCAATGTAACGCCATTTGACCCCCAGTATACTGAGTACTGTACTTGACATCTCAGAATGAAAAATTTTGGAGGGACGCTCGCTCAACTGCTCCACTGCCTTACGTTTAACACTGAAATTAACCTTTTGCTTTACTATTGATTGGTGATCATTTGGTTCGTAATTATACTACTATTGCAGGGGCGTATACAAGGATGATGTGGGGGTCAGATCCCCCCCCCCAATAGGTCTTTTAAAAATTGTATAAAATAGTGTTCTTAATGTAAGGAAATTATAAGGAAACAAAATAATATTGCAAGGATTTATTGTAAATTATTATTTTGACACATTCAATATATATATATATATATATTATTATTTATTATTTAAATGTGCAAGTATTTAGGTTTAGGAATTTTCCTTCCATAATAATTTGTTTGATACTGATCCTCCCCCCCATACAAAAGTTATATGTACGCCACTGTACTATTGGACTATACAATTTTATTCATTTTATATACAAACTTTACAGATAAGTAATAGGTATATGACCGCAACTAGGATATTACCTACAATTCGCGTGACCACAATTGTTCTATGTCCTTATCTCAAAAATCGTCTCTCACCGCAACTCGGATGCAGCCAAAAATTCAAGGTATACACATTATACTGTTTTTTTTTTTAAGTAAATAGTTATTTATTGCGAAATGATAAATACAATTAAGTGCCAGATAATTAACAGACGTACAGAATAAAAATAGGATGCAGTTTATTAGAAGGTACCTATTATAAAAAACAAACAAATATTGCGTATATTATTATTCTGCTTCGATACTGATTGTTACTGGAACCACTACGTTCGATTTTAAAAGTTAAATACCATCAATATTGGTAATTATTTTAGGGAAGTATAGTTTCAGAAATGTTCAAGGTTCCACTTGTGCTCCGGGGTCCCAGGGCACTACCCCGCTTCGTCCAATGATAGCTACGCCACGGCTTCCACTGTCGAACAACTTAAATGCGAGGAAATCCCCTTGTATTTCAAATGAAATTTTATTTCCAAAACATGTTTCCATAATATTTAGTGAGTATGGTAACTTAAAGTTTTTAAAACCTATGAAAGTTTCTAGGCTACAATTTCTGGTAAACATTGATTTGCGGAACGGAAAAAGGGATTTATGGTTAGCTGACATTTATAATTCTTATCGTGTACCCAAACTCTAATTGTTTTCGCAATCGAGGAACCGGCGATACGAAGAAAACTATTGAAATTGGAAAGAACTGTTTTTGTTTTTGATTACTACTAAAACTGTGTAAAAACGTGTAAAATAAAAAAAAATATAGTAAATATAGATCACCACCAGCGGGAAATGCGGTAAAATATGGTCGTTGGACGTTTAAAATCTTTGTGAGTGACTCTACCCTGTTTACATCACACGAACTGCATTTTATATTAATAAAAAGATAAATATAACTTCTGAACTTGACAGTATTATTACTTACTGCAACGGAGTTTTTGTGATTACAAGGATCATCCTTGTATCACGGTATAAACATACAAATATTTAAATTTAAAATAACTACTAAATGACGTCTTGGACAAATTATATTATCACAAAAGTGAAGAATTGACTAACGATATAGCCTTATTAGAGTATACAGTGTGAATGGATCTTTTTAAGTATTTTTAACCAAAAGAAATTAATTATCTAGATATCACAGATAGAAATAATAATTGTCTAGATCTTTTTGTAGTTTGGTATACTTTTAACATTACGAATTCGGTTGCACTGTTCAACCAACGATATCTCAGAGCAATATGACTTTCCGAAGAGAGATAACGGATAACGATTTAATTTCACAATATTGTGATTTTTACAACCTACCTATGTTGAAGAATCAATTGTTAATGTTATTTTTGCACTTTTATCTCGATATTGTGTCAATATAATTACCAAATGCTTATGCACTGGCAAATAATATGAAAATGAGTTCACTTAATCTATTATAGAATACCATGGCTGGACGTATAACTTCTGCTTCCATTAGGGCAGTTGTTGGACAAAAAAAATCTTTTAAGGCTGCACTTACCTTAGTTCGTACTTTTCTCATTAGTACGTATTGTGATGTAATATTATAATACTAACGTATTTTTTTTTATATATTTTCCAGACTCCATCAGCTGTTAATCAATTAAAAAAAATACTGTCTGGTAAATCAGAATATGTTAGTCTAAAAAATATTTTTGTATATTAAATCAAATTTGTTTATATTTTCTGACAATTTGTTTGGTTGAAATTTAGATTGGTCTCAAAATCGGTGTGAAACAACGGGGATGTAATGGTCTAAGCTATACACTCGATTATGTTACTGAGAAACATAAATTAGATGAAGAAGTTATGCAAGATGGTGAATATTATTATTTTCTTTAAAGGTTATTTACAATGTCTAAAAATACATACTAGTTTTGAACAGTTCTTGAACTCAATATTACATTTTAATTTAATATATTAACTATTATTTATTTATTTATTTACAAAATAACCATTTATATTTTATCGGCAATAATAATAATAAAAATTATGTAGGTATTTATTTTTAATTTTAATTGGTATCTTATATAAATTTGTACATATATTTTCCTTAGGAATCCGTGTGTTCATTGATAGAAAAGCCCAGTTAACATTACTTGGAACTGAAATGGATTTTGTTCAATCAAAATTGACCTCTGAATTTGTTTTTAATAATCCCAACATTAAAGGAACTTGTGGTTGTGGAGAGAGTTTTAACATATAAACCAAATAAGTAAGTACATAAGACAAAAAAATATATTTTCTTTTTCTTAGATTTATATAATATTGATTTTCATTATTGTAGAAATATATAAAAGTTTTATTTTAAATCACAAAAAAATTGTAAAAATTATAACTAAATAAATTGGATAGTACTAAAAACTTATAATTATAAAAATAGTTTTCTCTTAAATTGATATAATTACTCAACAAGAATGTAGTTTATTATGATAATTTTGGTTGTTGTCTTAGTTCAGTGATGTTAAGTATTTTTGATGGCGTATTATTTTTACGTAATGATTTTTTATTTTTGTTCAATGATCCATCTGTTGATAATTTAGGCTGTGGATTATCTAAATAAATAAATGCAAATGATTTATAATTTTTATTTAAAATAAATCTTTTGTTCTAGTTTATTTAATATTAAGGTTTTATTTACAATTCCTCATCAAGTTTTATAAAATAAAATATTTTTCATAAAATAATTTTGGCTATCTTATCGTATGCACTCTACTGTTTTTACCACTCTAATAATAATATAAATAATTATTATTTTTATTACACCATACATACATACATACTTAGGTACAGGGCCGCATTTAGGAAGGGGCACTGGCTACAACTGCCCCAGGTATCAGTTTTTTGGGGGCGCAAAAATTTTGTGGTCGGAAATTTGCTCACTTGTGAGTATTGAACTTTTAAAATTATTTTGAAATTATTATTTTTTTTGTTTTTAATAACAGTATTATAAATTAATGTTAATGTATTATGCTGTTTGGAATTTAAACAACTATGAACTTATGTATTTATAGCAATATAGCTATCAGCGGTCCAGAATATTATTAATATACCTAATATTAGTTCCCAAATTTGTTGTGATAACATCAATAAACATAAGTTATTTATAATAATACGGTGTAGGGGTACCTATTATGTTATTGAATGCGGCATGTGATGGCGTGCCGACTACACAAAAATAGCATTGATTTTAGAATATCTAAAAGGTTCATAAGGATCTATCTCCTATATTTTCCGTGGGTAAGTCCCTTAGAGGGGCGCCAATTTTTTTTTGCATTGATTTTATAATATACAGATAAGCCGAACTATAAATCAGTCAGCGGTTCCCAAACTTTTTTTTCCACAGTGCCTTTTTTTGGACCCAATTTAGCCATGGTGCCCTGTTGTGAACTACATTACAGAACAAAGAAAACCTATTGATAACCAATTTTATTAATTTTAGTAAAATTTAACTTAATTATAAATTAATGCATTTTTAAACTTAAAAAATAAATAAATAAAAATTATTGTTATTATAATTATTATATAAAAATATTATAAGGTTAAAATGAGAATATCTGAATTTACAATAGAAAATATTACATTATTTGCTATAATGTTTTTACGAAAACAATAAGGAAAAACAATTTTATACTATATGATATGAACCGTAGACCGCTGTGCTCCTAGGGTAGCACTGCGGTGCACAGTTTAGGAATCACTGGTATAGGTCATATTATACATATGAAATATTAAATAATACCCTAACTTATACTTTAGGTGGTTCAACACCATTTCCTTTTACACCTCAACAATATCCTTTCTTTTCCGCATTATTTTTTTATGTAATACTTAAATTTCACTTCTACATTTATCGCACAATATATTTTCTATATTTACTATAAGATTTTTAGAAACTAAAAAATTAGTAGCTGATTTTTCATTTTGAACTATTTTGTAAAATTCTTTTGCAAACATTTTGAAACATGACGTGAAAATAAAAAACTATGTGTACACCTAAGAATTGTCGACCAATGACTAAATACACAATCAAAAATTAAATCATGCAGTAAAAGAAAGTGCTAATTGTTATTAGCATTAAGTCACGATAATAAAGATATAAATTGGGCAGTAGAGCGTATAAGACAAGATAGCCAATAATTTAATGAATGGGTTGACATTCATTTTAATTCATAATCTTATTTAATATTTCAGTTAAAATAATAATAAAAAAAAATCATATACTTAATAAGGTTGAATAATTTAAATTTCAAAATTAAAAATAGTTTTTAGGATTAACCATAAACATATTTTTTGTTTATGAAACTTGATATTTTGGTAAAATGTCACCATCCATTTTAGGAGATGTTTGGTAAATATTGATCTATTATTAAAGGGTCTTTCAAAAAATCATTTAGAATTTCTGAAAACTATTTTTATTTTAGTAATATAAGGGTAATTGTTTTACTAAATTAAAAATATATCTTAAACAATATTGTATAAATAAAATACTGTAATATTATATAAACATATGTTGATTATGCACAAATATTTAAAAACACTAAATTGGTGGACTTATAATATAAAATTATTTTTAAATTATAAAGATTAATGTTGTAAAATTTTAAAAATTACTTAATAAATAAAATTTTTTTTTTAAAATACCTGATAAATAGTTTTTTTCTGGCGCAATAAGATGATATCTTTCCATGTAATGTAATGTTGAAATAGAATAGTTATTTGGGGATTGCATTGCAGGTTGTGTTGTTGGCACAAAATGGCTATTCATATCAACTGAAATAAATTATATTTTGCTGTTATTATTTATTTTTATAAATATGGAATATTCATAGTATTGCAATTTTTTTTAAATAAAATTAAATATCATTAATTAAGTTTCGGATTTATAGTACTAAAAACTTTTTTTGAAACTAAAAGTTTAGTAACTTTTTAGTCTAAGTACTAAAAAAAAACCAAATTTTTATTTTTCCTAAAAGTTATACCAATTAAGCAGTTAAATCTAACCATAAGTATTCCATTTGATAAGGTAATTAAAAATAAATAAATAAATAAATGAATAATTTAAATAAAAATTAAATTTAACTAAGTATGAACTTTTTATTTACAGGTGTGAAATGAATTGAAAAATAACTCAATGTTTTATGCTGTAGTCGGTAGATGAATAACTTTCACATCATTTTCTTTTTAGATGCTGTAAATTTAATTAAGTTATCACTTGTCAATATTTTATCAGTTGTATTACTTAATTTTTTTTTTCTTAATTACAAGTATGTATTGACAATGTGAATTTTTATTTATTTCAATTATTAAAATGTTGTTAATTTAATATAATTATTTTGAAAAAAATAAGATGTGTTTAATTTACATTTAACAGCTTGCTCAGGTGATAAGTATTGCATGGCCAGTGCTTGCATTTGTAAGCTGGAATCCTTTTTACTATTTTCGGGCAAGATAACATTTTTGTAAAGTTCAAAATTCCTAGTGACAAAATCATTATAAATATATTATAAATATCCAAAGTATACAAAATGTAAATAATTAAATCAAATGAAGCCTTTAAAGAGTAATGTATATTTTACTTTGACTTAGGCATTGGTGTAGGTTTTACATATTTCACTGGTTCAGCCACATCAGATTTAATTTCACTTTTATTATCTTGAAGTAAATTGTTTACTTGTCCCTGAGTTACAAATTAAATATTCATATAAGCATCTGTGTAGTAATTACTATTTCTAAAAATAATAAAATTTAATAACTTACAACAATATTCTTATACATAGTCCATCCAACTTCAATTTTTTTATCATTATCTTCCTCACATTCACTATTAGTAATAAAATATTAATAAATATTTTTAACAATCTTATCAATATTACCTGTTGCTACTTTCTTCAGATGATGATTTCATTTCAATATGAATTGACTGATCAGGTGATATAGGAGCTTCGATTACTTGAACATCATTAGAATTTAAATCAAATGATTCATCACTATCAAAAAATAGAGAATACAATTATAATAAAGTGTATATTTCATGTAGACTTATGATAGCAAACTAGGTCTATAACCTATTGATGAAAATTATACGAAAAACTAGTAGAAAGATAATTTGATATTTAGTATCTAAGTTATAGGATTTTAATAATTTATATACTGCAGGTTGCAGTTTATTAAAATATTTTATAAAAGCAGAATAAGTTATAGTGTATACTTATTTGTATAATAATTATGAATCTTTTCTGTTAATTCACTATCACTATAATTTTCGGTTTCCGTTAATTTACTTTCGCTTGATAAATGTTCTATTGTTCTAAGTCCTGTATCTTTTCTTATCTAATCTAAATAAAATTAAACTCATAATCTAATAGTTAATGACTATTAATCCAAAGTAGAAAGTATCTGGTTTTGATCTCTTATTGTAACGAAAATTGTTTGAATATTTTTTTTTGAAAAATCAGAACTATAATTTTAAAAATTTTAGGACTTTTCTCGTTATGCCTGCTAGCTCCACTCACCAAATCAAGTGCCACTGTATGGCAGTTTTTGGGGAGATGAGACTTTGCCCCAAGGGGAATTATAGTACTAAGCATAACCTAGTTTTTGTACAAACCTTTATACTGTTGCAAATGGAATTATGTTTTGTTTGTTAACCTAAAACCTCGCTGCCCAAGTAAATCATATATTTAGACCACAAATACAAGGTATTATACTATAACTAAACGATAATACACAAAGTTATCATTTTATAACACGTAATAATGTAGAATGGGTTTGAAAAATAATCAAAAAAAAAAAATAAATAGTGGTAATGAATTAACGGAAAAGGTCCATAATTATTATGTATTTTAATACATGTTTATTGAAAAAAAGATTTTATTTTATATTTCCTTAATTTAAAAAATTATTCAAATAATGAAAATATCCAAATATTATTATTTGTATAAAAACTTCTACCAAGAAAAAGTAGTGATTCATTTTAAGGGAAAATAAAAAAAGAAAAGAGTATTCAATGTTTATACCTTGCAATAGAGAATGTCCTCTCTTTTTCTTTTTTATCAACCTCCTCATTATTACTAATAATTTTAGATGTTTTTGGCTTATCCTTTGATCTAGATGTTGTATCTATTGTACCAACACTATTGGATCTTTTATTTGGTTTATTTTTTTTCTGTAAAAGTTCTTCATTTTTTAAATTAGGTAGTATTTTATTTGTATGGTTATCATTAGAATGATTCAATTGGCATTTTTTTTCGGTATCATTTTTTTTTAAAATTTCTGCTTTATTTGAATCATCACTTTTTTTAGACTGGTTGTTTTCAAAGCAACAACAATGTTTATGTTGGTTTTGCTGATTAGATAATACAGTTACTAATAATTTTTGTATAGTTTCTAAAAGAAATTTAATTTGATCACTTTGCATTTGCATCAAGCTGTAAATATCTTTGACAGTTGGTGAGTTTTGGTGAACACATTTATGACATTCTCGATCAGAATTATAAGGCATTCTTTCTGAATAACGACTGTATGGGATTTGATCACAATCACTGTATGATGATGATCCATAACAGGGTTTGTCACGTTGTTCATAGTAGTTTGTTTCTTTGTGTATAGGAGAGCGATTTTGACGATTCTTCCATTCACTATATGTTTCAGGAGTGGTTTTACTTGTAGCATAATTTGATGGATTCCTAGTGGATGGTTTTGAACTATTTTCTGAACCATCAAATATGACAGACAACTCTGGAACCTCGGGCTTGGCTGATATTTCCTAAAAATATTGTCAAAGTGTTAAGTGATTGGTTGATATAAAATATATTATAGAAATTTACTTGGAACTGTGTTGGCTTGGGCACAGAACGAGGTTCGAGTTCATCATCATGGTGACCGTTGGAAAACATTGATGGATTTTAGTAGATAGAGATTGAGGACGAACAATTTCTTAATACTCTAATAAACGTAAGTCAACAAGTGTAAAATAAATGGTTTGTTGGTAAAACACTGTAAAAAAAAAAATCAAAACGTTGATAAAATAGTGATAAAAATATTTCCCGCTCAAAACCGTCGTTAGGTTATAAAAATTGTATTCCTTCCGTAGCTCATATCAAACTGGGTTTTTTGTTTTTAATTTGTTTTGATAACAAAGTGATATCGTTTATCAGCACTTCAAATGACTATTACTATAATTAACAACAATTAATTGTCATTACAGCATAACTAATTACTATTATAGCGGTCGTCGTCTTTTTAATGACGCTAGTCGATCGTAACTTCGTCGATGGTTAGAAGTCGATTTAGTTGATAAAATATAATTTTAAAAATATTACTTGTTACAAAAAATGTTATAATTACATAATGCCTGAATTTATGTATTATTATAATTAGTATCAATGATTTTCTGAGTGTCAAATGTCAACCTTCTGTAAAATGTCTTTATTGAAAGTAAGTGGAACAAGAATATTGTTTTTTTTTGTCTTAAAATAGAGACATTATGTCATTCGTCTTAAGTTCAATTAGATTTTTGAATCAGTAATCCAGTCAATTAATTTCTAGTGATTAGTGATTACTCATTTGCTGGTTTCAATGCCATGTGTACCGCATTTAAGGTCAAACGGGCTAGGAAGGTTTACTTCCTAATTATGTAAATATTAGCAACTTGCTATAATGATTCATTTTATTGCGTTTAGTGAAAGATGAATGATCACTTTTTTTTAAATTATGTAAGAATAAATATATGTACATACATAATATATTTTATGTAAAATTTAACGGTTATCATTACTTTTTGATTTACAGGACAAAGTAACTTTAATTTTTTTCCTATTTTAATCATTTTTAACAATAATATGGATGTTGATGATAACAATGGGTAAGTTAATGAATTATTATAAATGTTTTTCATGTAAAGTAATGCTTAATTTACAGTTGTTTTTTATCATAAATCTGCCAAGCAATTAAATAATTTAATTTTGTAAAATATTTACTAATGAATTAGTATATTTTTGTACTTTATTAGATAAGATTAATCATTTTATATATAGTTTTGCTAGAAAATGTAATTATGTAATTATTTATTTAATTTTATAAAAAAGGAAACCAAAGAAAATTGAATTTTTTTTTTATAAGAAAAAAGAAAAAATTACATATTTTAAACTGAATTATTGTACTATTTTGAATTAATTAAAATGTAGTTAATTATTTATTATATTTTAAAATCTTATTGTTCTAGGTAAAATATAATATAGCTTTATTTAGCTATATATTTTTAAAATGTATACTTAAAGATATTGAACCAATTTATTATAAATTAAATGAAACTTCTTATTGTTTGAAATCTATTTCTACAAATTCAAGTCAACTAGATATATAAATGATTTATTTTTTGTAAATTTTATCACTGCTTTAGTCTTAGTTATTGTGTTTGTAATTTGATTTTGACAATATTGCACTTTTTTTATTACTTATGATATTAATTAGTTTTCAATTATTTAATTGTTTTTAAAATGCATGAAAATGCTACATATTTGTATGTAATTATTTAATGTATATATTGATAATGTGTAATGGTTATGTTTTACTTTTGGTTGTTTTTATGGTTTTATCAAACAATTTTTATTTACATTAATAAAATAAAAATAAGACTAACAATATACTAACATTTTGAATTGGGAAAGTATTTTTCTCAATTTTTTATCTATCTGAATTATTTTAATTTATTAATATATATGTTGTTATGCCATTGAAATAATAACCTTAACATTTATTTTAGGTATTTTATTGTGAAAATATAAATTTCTGTTACAAGAATTAAAGTGCATTAATCTTAATATACCTCATTAGTCCATACTTTGCTGAAATACAATAATATTATATTTATAATATTATACTTACATTACTGTATTTATATTCTCATTATTCAAAATTCTTTGTTTGTTAATTATCATATGTTATGAAAATTAATATAGTTTAAAAAAAAATTTCATCATTTTTAATCAAAATTATGTAATTAAATTTGATAAATTTGAAATTTATTTACTTTATTTTATGTTACTATCTTAACATATAGTTGACAATTAACAAAAATAAAATATTTTACATTTTTTATGTATATTTCTTTACCTATTATAGTTAAACACTATAACTACTAAGCCTATATTTTACCATTTTCTCCAGGAAATCATAGAATGTACATTTACAGTTGTACATGAATTATTATCAATATTTTAGAAGATTTACAATGTAATTTTTATATTTATTTGTGTATATGAATTAATTTTTTACTGGAATAATTTAATTTACTAATATATTTTTGTACCCTATTATAATAGTTACTTAGAAATTTAAAATTAAAATTATTTTGTATCATTAAACAAATTACATGCTATTTACAGTGGTTTACAAATCTGAATTATTTTATTTTAATAATTATTTAAATAAATTATTTCAAAATAAAAAGGCAAATTTCAAGAACACTGGTTTTTTCTGTCTTTCTGGGTTCTATAAACAATTTTATCAAAGTGTAAAAACTATTTATTTGACTAATTATTTTTTATTTTATAATAAAATTAAGTGTACCTTAAAAAATGATTACTTGGTTCAGTAAATAATTTTATAATCTTCAACGTAGTACATACTACTTATTACATTTCATATAATATATCAGTATTGTTAAATTATTGTAAATATATTGTTAGATGACAATAGAAAACAAATCGCAAATGCAACTTTCAAGCCTTTTAATGTATTAAATAGGTACCAACAATTTTAGTACCTAGTCAATTTTAGCTAAAATTTTTTTTTTTTTTTTTCATGATAAGCACTATTTTTTGTTAGATTGCGAGCTAACTTTATGATTTACGATATTTGATGAAAATGTTTAAAAAACAATAATTTAGTCTCATAATTAATTAATTTTTTTTTTAAAATTTTTATAAATTGTGTGTTTGTTATATGTTTTTAAGTTTATTTATCTTTTAGTTTAAAGACATGATATTAAATATTAATGTATCTTTATTTACTATTGTTGTTTCCTTATCTATACTTTTAATAAATTATATTTCTTGGAATTCGGTGATTTAAATTCGGTTTTATTTTTGGATGACAATCTATTCATTATAATATATTATAAATATTTCATGGAATTTAGTTACTTATGTTTATGTAATATAATATATATATATGCTAATATATTTTGAAAACATAAATATTCTAAACTTTTGGAGGAAAATTTGATCTAAACGGTTTTTAATGGTTTTTTTTTTGATTTTCGAATAAAATTGCCATGTACGTAAATATGTGACAACGAATTACATTGTAAAAGGACAAAGAAAAGTATTAGTTAAGTGCAACGTATAAATGCTTATCAGAATTATATTGTATTGAATCTAATTATCCTAATTTATTATAATTGTCAACAATGATCATCATTGATGTATTAGACCTCTTATAATGTCTCATCTAGAATGTCCGATTACTAACCTCGACTTGTACATTTTGTGCAGAGTCAGATCACCATTATAATTGACATAAGATAATTTTAAAATGAATGTCGCTAGCTAAGAAAATCTGATTAATATGTTCTTTGGAAGTCGCGTTACATGGTAATGCCATTTACCATAAAACAAATTGTGTGGTTATTTTACACTGTTTTATTTACAACAATCTGCTAGTATGTTACTTTTCTTGTAAGAAGTGAACTCACTTTCATGTCTGAAATGTATTTAAGTATAAATACAATTTCCACAGTTGAAGTAGACGTCTAATTTGTTAACGTCGTAGTTTAACTACGTTATGTATCTAATGGTGTATCAAGCAGCGGATTTAACCCATTATTATAGATACTGATGTTCGATGATTTGAAGTCAAAACGTTCATCACAGTCAAGGCCGTATCGGGGGGGGGGGGGTCCAGGGTGTTTGGACCCCCCGAAATTTCTTCAATATTTTACAAATGTTTAAAATACTTATTTATTTTTAACACCAACATAAATATTTTCAGTCAAAAATAACTTAAGCTCCAATTAATCATTAACAGTTTTTAATTTTATATCATAATATCATATGAAAATATGATATTAATTTTAATAAAAGAAGATTAAATCTTTTTTGTCTTATTTTTTACTAAATATCAAAAATTAAAATCTAAATTCAATAAAATTACACTATACATGTTTTGGACCCCTCCCGAAAAAAGTTTCTAGTTACGGCCTTGCTCACAGTGGTCATGAATGTTCATTTACAATAATTATGCGTACGCTGCTTAAAATTACGGTACTTAATACGTTATACCCCTTACCAGTGGCGTGTTGAGTTAATTTTTTGTGAGGAGTAAAAATGTATATAAGGTACTCCCCCGCTGCTAGCTTTATATAAACCACCTAGATATAATATTTAATTTATACAAAATAAGCCTATATTTTACAGATATTCGTAATTAGTTAATTTATTACTCTACAATGATGTAGTCTTATAAGTTATAATATTAAATAATTTAATATTAGACTCAGTACAGTAGTACCCACCAACCCACCACCAAAATGATGAGTGAGCAATTGCACTTGTACTTTTAAAATCAACAAAGGATCTGCACACAATGGTAACAGGAATAAAATGTAGTTATCAATCGTAAAAATAATATCTACTGTGCGTTTTGAAAAACACATCAAATCATATTTTATGTACAACGATTTATGTTGTCAGGATAATAGAAATGTATTTTCGCGGATTTTATTGCTAGTTTTTTCTTTTTTACTCAAACGCAGCATTGTTGTGAAAATCATTTTAATAATAAATAAGATCTACGGTCTTTACTTATTATGTTTTTTGTATTTTAATTACAAATTGTTAAGTATACCATACATGCAGTGACGTATTTAGTGGGGTTAGAGGGGGTGATTGCCTCGGGCGGCATCAGATTTTTACACATTCCATTTCATGTTGATGAACAATAATATAAATTGGTTAAATTTTTTTTTATCCAAGATAATATTCTAAGACTGGAAATATTCATGGGAGGGGGACAAAAATTTTCGACAAAAAACCTCTCCTTCAAAACGTAAATAAGTTATTTGCGGTCGAGAATGACCGATGAACGACCAAACGGTATGGCTATATTAAATATTGAATCAAACATCACAAAAAGATTATAGTATGATGACATAATCAATGAGTATAGTTCCTTTAAAACTTGTAAAAAAATTATGTAAATTGTAAATATTGTTTTGTATAATAATAAATAATAAATTTTTATATTTTATATTTGTGACTAATTTATAATGATAACATAATGTTTAAAGTTTAAACTGTGCTTTTTTTCTTCTAACAACTAAAAATTGTTTAATGGAAATTTTTGATTGAATAATCAATGGGAACTGGTTTCACCAGAGTATACACAAAAAGTGAATACATTAAAAACAAAAATGTAACAAATAAGTTAGAAAGCACTTGAAAAGATAACGAAAACGTAAAGGCTGTTATATGGCCTTTGGGTGGTTACTGGAAGGTAAGCTCCGACGCGCTCAGTAGGAAGAAAAAGATAAAAAAAATTTGTTGGTGGGGGGGGGAGCGGAAAAACGTTAGCACCCGGGCGCCAAATTTCTGAATATGTCTTTGCATACATGACAAGAATTTTACAGTGTCACTTGTAGAGATGGAAACATGCACTAGCGCCAATCTATTTGGATTGCTTAGAGTATAGGGCATGTTAAGTTTTTACAATAAATATTAATTATATAATCGAACACTCGGCATTGTGTGTAAACGGTTTTGTACGCTAGAGTTTTCTTTTAATGAATTGAAAAACCATTTTAAATTGCAAACAAATGATTTAATAAAATGAAAGAAATCCAAAACAAAAATATTTGTTTTTTAT